TGAGCCCAGAGCATATGAAAATGTTGGGCTGCTTCTCATAACAGGCATGAAACAATTATGGCGCCTCTATAACTCCACAGCCCTGTAACGCCAGCCCTGGATTGCTGTCTATTTCATATGCTTCTATAGTGAGACCTTAGTTTTATCTCTGTCCCCTGAGTACCTAGAACTAGACAAGGCATATGGTAGGGGTTCAATGAAAAATAGAGTCCTAATTTAGTTTTCAAAATCAGTAAGAATACCCAGATAAAGATAGCCTGTTAATTATTTAAAAAACGAAACAAAAACAACTGAGGCTACCTCTGGGGCTCAACCATTTTTTCATCACATTCTGGCTTCATGAGAACTTGAGGCCACACATAGTGAAGGTTCGTTTGATTCATTCAACAGATATTTATTGAACAACTACTCTGTCAGATCCTATCCCAGGCACCGTGGATACAAGAATAAAGAAGATAGCCCTGCCCTCAAGGAGCGCACAGTCTAGCAGAAGGACCAATAGCACCTTAGAACCTGCTGAGAAAGTGCTCTGGTTGACGGCATATTAGTTAGAATATTTCAAGTTGCCAAAAATATAAACCTAAAGTTTGCCTCTCACCGCCCCCCCCCCAAAAGAAGCAGAGTTTGGAGGTTGAAGGACACAGTCAAATTTAAAAGAAAATTCAAATATATATTCTTCATGTAAAAGCCATGAAATCTATGAGCCAGACAGAGCCTTGGGAAATACAGAGTGGGCCTATCTTAAAGACTGTGACCAGATTTAAATCCTGAACATTATTTCATTATTCCTGGGGTTAGGTGTCACTTACAGTGACATTTATATATACATACATTCAAAAGATACGTGCATGAGACGTGCTCCTTGGGGCTTTTGATTAAACCTCTCAGGTCATTTACAACTCAAGACATCGTATAAAGGCAAACTGGAGATTTTCCTCTTGTTGCTAGTTTCCATTATCATTTGAATGGGAGCGGTTCTCAGGGCATAGTCTGAAGTTAAATATAGGATGTGCATGTTGGCGCAATCTTGCCCTACAATGAAACCAAACTGTCTTCTAACGTGCTATTCAAGTGTACATTTTCATGGTTATTCAATGGTGTCTCCCATAGTCTTAGGCCTACCTGGATTTTCCTTTTCCTGCCTTCCTCTTCTGCACCTTTGTTCTCAGCAGCAGGAAGGACCCCTGTAGCTGCCAGTTTTGGCTGTTCTTAACCCAGCAGCAGCCCTGCCATGTACACCTCTTGCGTGGTTCCCACTGAGAAGTAGCCCACCATTAGTGAGGAGCTGTATTATTTAAATGGCGAATAGAGCAAAGCCAAAGGCGCTGCCACACAAACCATGGAACCAGAACTTGCCCAGTTATTTTTGTAGGCGCTGACCAGGGCCGAGTTAAGTTGTGTCACAGAAAGAAAGTGGAGCCTGTTAGAAACAGGCATATTGATAGAATACGTTACTTTGCAGGCATGAAACATTTGCTTAAAAGCTAACGAGGCAAATGATTACATGGTTGAGGGACTAACTTGTTCAAAGATATTCCTCGCATTTCCTATAGCCCTTTGTGTTCTGCGAAATGTTCTATAGAAATCAGAGCTCACTGGGTATTGGCAATAATACATCATGAATGTAACTTCATCACGATAAGGTGAAATAGACTGAGCATGCTCTTTACGGAGGCAGGGAGGTAGACGATCATCCCTAAGGAGATTTACGTCAAAAATAACTACAGATTTAAAATTTTGGCACTTAAGAGAGATGCATTTGTTGTCCGAACAAAGTTCATATATATGGACTGCTTCATGACCAACAGAAGGTGTTACTGAGTGCGGCACCCTTGACCACTGGGCACTAAACAAGCATGATTGTCATCAGGAAGTCATCAAGCCAAATGAAGCCTGGTGTGGTGACACATGCCTTTGATCCCAGCATTTGGGAGGTAAAGACAGTGGAATTTCTGAGTTGGGGACCACCCTGGGTTACAAACTGAGTTCCAGGACAGCCAGGGCTCAAACAAAACAAAACACCTTGTGCTAAAAAAAAAAAACACCAAAAAGTAAAATAAAAAGCAAGTGTATAGAGACTTATGGACACAGTGATGCGTGCTTCAGCGTGACAAACAGCAGTCTTCTAAGATTCTCCAAGTGTCAAGTCATAACTTTTAAGGTTGTGTTCCCTAGAAGGATCCACCACCTCTGCCATGACCCCCACCAGCTGCAATTACACATTTTCACTTAAAAGTAGAAGTCTCTTACTTTAGCCCTTTATTTCCTGATTGAAAATAAGCAGCTACTGTATATTTCATACACCTACAAGTTATTCAATATAGCATTTCCATTAATAGACTACTCTGAAGGAAGCTTTTAGCCTGGAAAATGATATTTTTTAACAAGATGTACCAACGGTAATAAATCCATTATTAATTATAATATACTCTGCCAATTATAATAAAAATTGTTGAATAAAACAGTAAAAAAGTACCAGAATCTTAGGTTGTTAAAAAAAGGTGGGGGGAGCCGGGCGTGGTGCCACATGCCTGTAATCCGGCACTCAGGAGGCAGAGGCAGGCAGATCTCTGTGAGTTCAAGGCCAGCCTGGTCTACAAAGTGACAGCCAGGGCAACACAGAGAAACCCTGTCTCTTGTCAGTTGTCATGTGTGGCTTTGCTTCCACACAAGGCTGACTGACTAGCCTTCACTTTCTCTACATCACGGCTGCTGTATGAGCTGAGGGATGAGTGTATCTCATCCTTCATGAACTAAGGGGTAAAATGGTAGAGGAAGAAGTCCAGACTTGAAGTAAAATAATAGACAAATCTCGGTCTGAATCCAGTGTTGCTGCCCACTGCCCACTCTGAGAATTCAGGCAAGTCACTTCTACCTTCAACACGATGTGAGGCTCCTTCCACCTTCTATGTAAGGTCTTTGTAGGGCCGGTAGGAAAGCGGGCACATTTCTTTAACACATAGTAGGTGTTCAAAAACAGTGACCCAAGAGTCCCTTGCTTGAATTCGGTACATTTGAGACAACATCTGACATAGAACTCTTTTCAAACTGATGTAATTTATAGAATCTTGTTTTATCTTTTGCTTTTTGATACAGGGTAGCCTTGGCTGTCTGTCCTGGACTCACTCTGTAGACCAGGCTAGCCTCAAATTCACAGAGATCCACCTGCCTCTGCTTCCTGAGTGTTGGGATTACAGGTGTGTGCTGATTCACCTGGCTGTAATCTTCTTTTGAGTATTTAATCTTTATACATAATTTAAATTCAATTTAATCTTTATAAATAATAGTTTTTAATTGTTTCCAGGTACTGGTGGTGCAAATCTTTAATCTTAGCACTAGGGAGGCAGAGACAGATGGATCTCCTGAGTTTGAGATCTGCTCTACAGAGAGAGTCTAGGACAGCCAAGGTTACACACAGAGAAACCCTGTCTTGGAAAAAAAAAATTGTGAAGGTTTTAATTATAGTATTTCCCTCCCAAACTATTCTCTTTTTTTTTTTTTTTTTTTGGCGAGGGGGGGGACTTTTGTCAGTCAAAGCTATGGCAAGTCTACAATTTTCATTGTGCTTTGTTGTTTTTTTTCAATAACACTATTTCCAGCTTTTCCAATATCTATGATAAAAAGTCTTGATTTTTAAAGACTGTCCTGGAGCTAGCATTGTTCTCTTTTATTTTATTTTATGTATATCAGTGTGAAGGTGTCAGATCCCTTGGAACTGTAGTTACAGGCAGTTGTGAGCTGCCCTGCGGGTGCCGGGAATTGAACCCTGGTCCTTTAGGAAGAGCAGACAGTGCACTTAACCACTGAGCCATCTCTCCAACCCAGCATTGTTCTCTTTGAGATGCAGCTCTTACAGGTGTGTGAACGGCCGTTTGATGGGCACTATAAAGAACTGTTGTGTTCATTCATGTATTTGGGTTGTTTAAATGTCTCTGTAAGTAGTAAAATACTTTTTTCTATGAAGAAACTTTCAGCATCTATTCCCATGCCTTCCTTTTACAATATGATCATCTTTCTTACAATAATATAACCTAAAGACAAAATGTCCACAATCTCTTGTGTTTTAAAAAGCCAGCATAATATAACAGGAAACTGCCCTGAGCAAAGAATTATGAAATTGACTTGAAGCCCTGGCTTTACCACTAACTTTGTATGACCTTAGGCAAAACAAATCACGTACCTTCTTTCATTTGTCCAACAGTGAAATGGATATCACTTCAAGTTATTTGCTATTCTAAAATTGCTATTATTGATTTATTATTATTACTATTTAGATAGCTGAAACATCTTATGGGAATTATGTTAAGCACCAAATATCTACTGCAATTCAGGTTGTGTTTTTAAACTATGACCTGGATGCCACCCAGACACAGATTTGAGATTCTGTTTAAGTAGTCCTTTTTCCTGCCTAAATAAGTCTTCTAAGGTCAGGCCCAGACTCCTACATTTTTTTCACAAGTCCTTCAAGGATTATACTGCATCCTAATATTAGAGAAGCACTGGCCTAAAGGGCATGTGAACAAAGAGAACGAGGCTATTGCATGGCTTTAATTATTCCAGCTTCTAGCATATCTCAACATAGTGCCAATCAAGACTGGAAGGACGCTGTCCATTCAAGACAGGCGTAGCCTCGTGCTCACACCTTCCTCCCAGACTTCCTATAGCCAAACACAACGCAGTAGTGCCACTCAGTCGCTGACTCTCAGGTCTGTGACAGCAGCTGAAAGAGGACTATAGCTCCCTTTTCACCATCAGTGCGAGCTGACCTGACGATCCCTGGCTGAAGGAACAAACACAATAAAATCTTTACTTGACTTCCCTCCCACCCCATTACTATGAACAAATCATCTGTGTGATTCAAAGAATCAGAGACTCCTCAGTCTATGGCCAGATACTGTGCCACTAAGAACAAATCTTCTGTACAACAGAAATGACCAAGCTTATTACTTTTCTTTTCCAATGCTGCTGACAGGAACAAAATACCAAGTAAAGACACATGCTGGAGATTTTAAATTCATAGAAGTAAAATAAATTACAGAGAGAAGTTGCAATGTTTTTCTAAAATTTCACAACAAAATCTCACATGAGATAACTTGTATAATTTTAACAGGAAACTTTAAAAAGATATTTTGTTGCAAAGTATCTGTTATGAGAATGTCATTATCTGTGCTCAATATTTGACAGCAACTTTAAAGGCCAAGTGTACTGATAAATGAAGATAAGCTTTTTCAACAATGGGTGTGCCAACATCCAACTTCTGGGCTTTATTTAATACTAGTGCCACGGGTTTTCTCATCCCAACCAAGACTCCTGCAGAATGTCCACAAAATTCATACCAAAATAAAAAAAACAAGGGAGGCAGGGAGGAACGGTAGAAACAGGGATGGGGAGAGAACAAGAGCCACATGCAAAATGACCAGGAAAACCCAAGCCAGTGGCACAGACAGGAGCAAAGGAATGCTGACAGAACGATGCTGCACGGTGGAGATGGAGATGCCGGGATGCTGGATGGTCACGTACTCAGGCCGTGTTTATGTTCACTGGCCCATTGGAATTGAGATCTTGACCCAAACTTATAAGAAAGAAAATACTTCACCTAAATTGAAGTAATTTATAAGCCAAACACCAGAAGAGTTCCTTATTCGATGTGAGTCCTGCCTAAAACTTTGGCTGATACAAAGAGACCCGTCCGCTAAGGCACCCTGAGGCAATCTGACAATGTGTTGGAGAGAACTTTGTTGTCAGGACCACATCATTATGAGAGTACAGAGAACGAATTACCCGCAGGGGACTGGCCTCTTTGGGTAAACAGTCAACAAGCTCACTGCACTGTTTGTCAAATCCCAACAAGCGAATCCCGTAGCCATGTGGGGAAGAAATCATTCGTCCGTCAGGGCTGAAGCAAAGTTCTTTGATGTAGCCCCTGCCTACGTTGGCTTCCTCGATATAATGAGTCAACCGCAGAGAACAGCGAGGTGAAACAGGTCGCACTGGAGCGCCTTCTTGGAATTCATAGACACAAGTCCACTGGAGGAGGAGAAAGGAGACAAACTGAGGTCACAGATTCCCAAATGGTACTACAGAGGTATTCTTTCTTTCTTTCCTTTTTTTTAAAACTCAGTTTCTCTGTATAGCCGTAGCTGTCCTGGAACGAACTCACTCTGTAGACCAGGCTTGACCTTGAACTCAGAGATTCTCCCTGCCTCTGCCTCCCAAGCACTGGGATTTAAAGCATGTGCCACTGCTGCCTGGCTTCCCCTGGCTTTTAGAGAGATAGTTATGATAACTGTCTTACTAAACCCCAAACATCACATTTAGTATCAGCTTAGCTGAACAGGTCAGTGTAACATTTAAAATACGGTTGTGTTTGTTTTTTATGTGATGGAGCAAGAATGAAGAAGCTAGGCATAATATGAGATGATGATGCTCTTTTAGGGTACTTCCCAGCTCACTACACTGAGACAGGAGAGGGAGAAGAGACTGCAGAGACAAAGCAACAGAGAGGGAGGTACAGGAGTGGAGAGGAGGGGCCTAGAGTGGTATGCCTTGAGGGCAGGGACTGAGCCTGGTTATCAGCTAAGGTTTGCACACAGGACAACAGCACTGTGTCCAGTGAGCTCTGATGAAAGTGAAGCACTGTAGCCTATACCTCCTGATCATCAGTGTTGCTTGAGCACCGAAGAAGAGTGGCCCAGCCTTTGGGGTGTAGCTGTAAGGATGTGATGCAGTTTCCACGATCTCTCTCACCAGGAACTTCAGGGGTTAAGACTTCAAGACTATTTCGTGGTGAAACTCCTGAGATACAATAAAATCAAATATTTTGGATTTTTGTTACAGTTCATCCATACCATGATTTCTAGCAACTACCTCCTTGCCTTCACCCCTTTGTTTGTTCCACATGTAAAAGAACATGCCTACCCTAACCCCAATATATGGTATACAAGTTTTGCAACAGAAACAACCAGTGATCTAAGGCATAAAAGCTGAGTGGGCCCTCTTTGAATTGGACCTGATCTCAAAAGGTTCTTTAAGAAGCGAAGCCATGTGCATGGAAGGTGTCTAGAAAATTAATGTCATAATTCTCAACTCAGAGGTCTAATGGTCTACAGAGCAAAGAAGAAAATACATGGAAGGCAGGGCTGCCTTTTAGAAAAAGGTGAGGACTCTGACCCCAAAGGACGGTCCAGATGTTCCTCTTATACTGGGATTAATGCACTCCTCCAGAGCTGAAACAGCACAGATTGCCGTGTACTCAAGCCACTGGGCACCACAGCTCTGTGAGAGCTCACTCTACAGTGTTAGTTGTTCTCACAACTGTATGGCTGGTTGGAAGAAACACATCCCACTTTCCAGAACCGGGGTGGGGGAACAAAAACAAAAATGAAAAAACAAAAAAAGCAATGCATATTTGCTAGACTAGAAAAAGACCAAAATTCAAAATGTGAAGTTTGGTTTCTGTTGAATGCATGCTATTTTATACCACTGTGAAACTGGAAAAATCGTAACTTGAACAACTCCAAGTCTCAACCCATACTATTAATAGATATAAAACAAGAATGAGAGCTATCTTCCTGGTGACTGTACTAAGCCACATCATTTCCTTCAGTCTAGTTCCTAGCATGCCACTGTTGCTAATGACGGTATGCCATGTCCCGTAGGTTTATGAGAACCCATCTTCAGTGTCATAAGAAAGTAGCCTAGAAAGTTAGAATTAAGAGAGAAACTTTTTTGTTGTTGTTCTTTTTGAGACAGGGTCTCATGCAGCCCAGACTGGTTTAGAAGTCTCTTTGTAGACGAAGATGACCTTGAACTTGATACTCCTGCCTCTCTCAAGAGCTAGATTATAAGCAGTGCCACCAGGTCTAGCTCTGTACACATACTGATTTAGCTTTCATAGCATCCTTGTTTGGAATCTACATTTCTTAAGCATGCTTCTCAACTAGACCAAATTAAGGTTGGTCCAGGTAATAAAGCCAGAGCTTCCATTAGTGGTTAAGGTACAAGATAGTTGACCTTTTTCAAATGATGACTGAAAGAGCAAGAGAGGGCCTCATCTCTCTTGGCTTTTGTTTTTATGGATTAAACCTAGACCAAAGAAAGCCATTTGATACGATCTATTGCTGTAAGGTTGTAAACCTAACTTTTAACCTACCTTCTCGTTGAGAGGCTCGTGACATGTGTTTCTCAGATGAATTAGAATCACTGTGATGACAAGGTGAACCAGAAACTCTAGAACCAGAAGAACTTGATGAAGTAGTCAAATCTTGAAAAGAAAATTGAAAAAATAAACCTAGTGTAACTCTTGTAGTATCTTTAAATTTTTAAATGATCTATTTGAACTTTTAAAATATGCTGACAAAATCTCATGTAAATGGAACTATAATTAAGATGAAAACAAGACAGTTCTTGGTTCTGTTTAAGGTCTACATTCTTTTAAAAACCTTTCATAGAAAAGTCTCATGTGAAATAAGACAAAAGGCCAAATAAGCACACAAACATCTCTGCTTCTCTATCATTTACAAAATAGAAGAAAACAAAGTCTGTAGGAGATGAATATCAGACACTGTGTGCTATGGCACTTCACATAGCTGCGCTTCACCCTGCATTTCTGGAAGCTGCACACTTCCATGGAGTCCTTGGCCTGACCTCCATTACATCACTTACAACTTGAATCACCTTTACGAGAGACTGAACAGCTTTTTGGTTTTTCAGCCAAAAGTGAACAACTTGAGCGGTGTCATTCACACACCTCTAGTACCTGTACTTGGGAGGCAGAGGCAGGTAGTTCTCTGAGTTCGAGGTTACGCTGGTCTACATATTGAGATCCTGGACACCCAGGGCCACACAGTGAAACCCTGTCTCAAAAACCTTAAAGAAAGTGGCCAACTATATCTTCTAAATCATTTCTCCTTCAGTTGATTATCAATGTTTAAGTTTGTTTTTAATAGAAGGCAATAGAACCTGAAAAGTATTATACTTAAATAACCATTAAACTTTGTAAGTTTGTAAAAGTTAAAAATTTAAAATTAGAAATTTAATACAGTTATACCTGCATTTTCCCAACGGATTAAAAACAAACAAATGCCAGGTGGTGGCATTTATCCCAGCACTTTAATCCCAGCACTCTGGGGGCAGAAGCAGGCAGATCTGAGTTCAAGGTCAGCCTGGGCCACAAGAGTGAGTTCCAGGACAGCCAAGCCTACACAGAAAAACCCTGCCTTGGAAAGAAAAATTAAAAACAAAAACATCCAACCAACCAACCACATAAACTAAAACTAAACCTGCTGTTATTTATTGTGTGTGCTGCAGCATGAGTGGGGAGATCAGAGAAATGGAAGTTGGATCTCCCAACTATGTGGGATGAAAAGGGACAGAATTCAAGTTGTTGGACTTGGTGGCAAGTGCCTTAATCCACTGAGACATCACTTCATCCCCAAAAGGAATTTTCAGGAGTAGCCTGTCCACACAGGAGAAAGAATCTAACCATTTGAAGTTGTTTTTAAAACACCTTTGTTTTTTTTCCACCTTTGTTTATAAACATTAATACTATGTTTCTAGGCCAGTCTTTCATTTCCAGATGCAGATAATATTGCTATAATGTAGCATTTAAGTTTTTGGAAGCCCCAACTTCATTTAAGTTAGTGAAACAGCAATGAAAGAAGAATAAGGCTGGAGAGATGGCTCAGAGGTTAAGAGCACTGGCTGTTTTTCCAAAGGTCCTTAGTTCAATTCCCAGCTACCACATAGTGGCTCAAAACTATCTATAATGAGATCTTGTGTTCTCTTCTGGTGTGCAGGCACACATGCCGCCAGAATAATGTATAAATAATAAATAAATCTTAAAAACCAACCAACCAACCAAACAAACAAACAAAAACCCAGAAGAATGTGGCTCTGGCAAGAGGATGCTCCAAGGTGGCATTAGCTTGTGAGTGGACATGGGAAGTGTAGGACAGACTACAAACTCAGAACCCAGAAGTTAACTGACTATAACTTAACATCCTAAAACCAGTTTCACTTTGGGCCATCACTAAATTTGAGGCAAGAATGATTCTCTGGCTAGTGTAAATCTGAAAGAGCTTTTAGGGCTATGAGTCTTTCCAGAGGCACAAGTTAACGTTGTCAGAGGTACACACAGCTCATCACACACCCTTGGAAAGCTATGAGTCAGTTTTCTAAAGAACGGCTTCCTTTCCCTTTCCTTCCCAGCACACTTAGAACACAAATACATGCCACCTCTGTGGCTCAGATTCTTTTTTTTTTTTTTAAAGGTTTATTTATTTATTATATATGTTTGCATGCCAGAAGAGGGCACCAGATCTCATTCTAGATGACTGTGAGCCACCACGTGGTTGCTGGGGATTAAACTCTGGACCTCTGGAAGAACAGCCAGTGCTCTTAACCTCTGAGCCATCTCTCCAGCCCCGCTCAGATTCTTTAGAAATCTTTTTAATAAGAAACTCTTACCTGAACTTGAAGTAGTTCTTCTTGCTCTCAAAATGGGATAGCTGCCTACTTCTAAAGACTTAGTTAAGTCCAAATCGTGCAAAATCAAGAGATATCCAGAGGATGTTGAGATCAACATTTTGGAACAATCTGGTGTTAATCTCATTCGCATAAGAAAACGTGTATGAAAGAATTTCTTATGTGGACAACCATCTTCTGTGCACCTACAGAAGAAATCGGACCAACAAACCTAGTGTTACCACAAATGTAATGAGTCCCAGCACCAAACTGTTTTTCTCTTAAAGCAGAACTGAAAGCCACACACATACTTTACGCTGCATTACTTTCTATCCTTTTTTAATCCCTGACCCTTCTTTTGAGATCACTTTTTTCTTAGTATATCCTTCACAATTTTTAAACTTTATTGAAGTAAATTCTTATGTATTTTATTCTCTTGAGCAAAGGTTTCACTGAATATACAACTTAAGGATGACAATGGTTCTCTATGAATGGTGAGGAAACTATTCCACTGCTGCTATCTGTAAATCTGCTAGCAGCCTGTTACTTACATATTCCTTTCTCCACTTCCTCACTTTCTAAATCTTAATATTTATATTATTCAAACAGTCTAGAAAATTTAGTTATTATCAATATTGCTTCACCCCTTTCCTCTATTTTTCATATCCTGATATTTGAAACATTCATATTTGATGATTTTTATCGCAAACTTTTTTCATCTTTTCTATTTTCTCCATTTCTTTATCCTGTGTTCTACGTAACTTTTCAATTACCTATCTATCTAATCTATTTTTTTTTTTTTTTTTTTTTTTTTTTTTTGACCTGTCCTATATAGTTTAAGTTTCCGTACTTTTTATTTGTTGGTTTGTGAGGAAAAGCAGACATGTATTCTACCAATGAACCACACCACCAGCCTTTTTTTTTTTTTTTTCTTAATTTTATTTGGCTCTTTTTCAAGATCTGTCTGCCTATTTTATTCCTTTTTAAATTTCCTTTTCCTTTTCAGTTTTTGTAAAAAATCACAAAGCATAAAATACTCACAAGAATTATATAAACTAAACATTTTCCCCCTAAATTAAGAAAAACTCGCCTGTAATCCCAGCACTCAGGGAGGCATAGGCAAGTGGATCTCTGTGAATTTGAGGCTAGCCTGGTCTGCAAAGCAAATCCAGGACAGCCAAAGCTACACAGAGAAACCCTTTCTCAAAAAAAAAAAAAAAAAAAAAAAAAAAAATATATATATATATATATATATATATATATATATATATATGTATGTATGTATGTATGTATGTATGTTGGTTGGGCACATGTATAGAGGATAACCTGAAGGAGTTGGTTCTTTTCCTTTTACCAGGTTGCAGGCTTGGTGCATAAAACATATTTAGAATTTTAAACTGAAGGGCTGTAGCTCATTACCCAGAGGTTGAATACTATTACTCCATTAAAAGGCCTCTCTTCTACTATATATTAGTTTAGAATCCAAGTCTTCTACCTAAGAGAATATGGGTAACTAGTTAGTATGTTTTATTCTCTCATGTTGTGTATCTCCCCAGAAACCTATTTATGTTTCCTCTATTAGAAGTTTTTGTCAATCATCTGATTATCATTGCATGCTTGCTCAGTTTAAGAGCAAGGAATTCAAGGTGACCGGGAATTCTGAGGTCAAGGTAGGGTGAAGTCATTTCTGAAGACACTTTTAGTGCTAATATCTTTGGAAGCAACAACGGAAAGAAGCTAAAAATTTCTGAACTCAACATTTATGCGCATTGCCACTCGGTCAGTTGGTTTTGGATAAGCAATTAAGCCTCCAACTATTGCTGCCATCCTTTTATATGGTAATATTTTCCATATTGCCCTCTTTACAGAAATAAACTTCTGGTAAAATGATCCACTGCCCATTGGAAGGGGTGAAAGGGAGAGCTATAAAGTTCTTAAATATATATTATTCAAACTTCTCCTTTAGCTACCTCTTTTAGTACAGGATACCCAGAGCTGCCAATTCCATAGTTTCTGAGGATTCTGAGTAAACTAACTGAAGTTTTAAAATTTTTCCTCTGCAACTTAGGATTTAGGTTTTGTTTTGTTTTATATTTATTTATTATTTACACAGTATTCTACCTGCACGTGTGCCTGTGCACCAGAAGAGGGCAGCAGATCTCACTATAGATGGTTGTGAGCCACCATTGTGGTTGCTGGGAATTGAACTCAGGACCTCTGGAAAAGCAGATAGTGCTCTTAACCTCTGAGGCATCTCTCTGGCCCCTAGGTTTGTTTTTTACTTTTATTTACATGTATGTGTGTGTACGTCACACGTGCACAGGTGCCTGAGGAGGCCAGACGATAACATTGTATCTCCTGAGCTGTAGTTGAAGGTGGCTGGTGCTGGGAACTGAACTTAGGTCCTCTGGAAGACCCAGCCCCGGGAGTTGGCTTTCTTGAACTTGAGTGAAACTGCCTAAACAGAAGTTGCTAAATCAGTTGCCATTCATCTACCTGCCTCCCATCTTCTAAAATTCTACTGTCAAGTTCCTTCTTCGGACTTTTTCTTTCTCTTTCTGTTTCTTTCTTACTGAGACAGGGTCTCTCTGTGTAGCCCTGGCTGTCTTGGACTCACTTTGTAGACCACTCTTTTCTATCGATTTTATTTTAATCTTATAAAGACTTAAATTTAGGCCTCACAACTAGCATAAACATTATCGATTTTCTGTGAAATTATATACTTTAGCTACACCCATACTTCCAGCACTTAGGAGGCTGAAGCAAGAGAACCCTGAATTACAGACTAGTTTGGTCTATACAGTAAGTTCCAAGCTAGTCTCAGCTACTCTGCAAAATCCCATGTCAAGATATATATAACAATTTGAGTGTAGTGGCACATGTTTGTAATTACAGCTCTTGGAAGGGTAAGACTGGAAGATCAGGAGTTCAAGGTCACCCTGTTACCTCATTAGTTGGAAGCCACTGTGGGCTGTAAGAGACCCTGCCTCAAAACAAAACCCCAATCATCAGTCAAACAAATAAATCAACTAAAACTTATGTATTTATATTTGTGAGTACATATACATGTATACATGCGCGCACACACACACACACACACACATTTTATTTCAAAAGTGCTGGTATACGCAAACTCAAGGATAAATTGGTTAAAAAGTTGTATCTGTCTCAAAAACAGAACAACAACAACAACAAAAAATCCAACAAACCTTTCAACTATTTGTAAGGACACACTCACAACAAAATTACAATATGATTGACTTGTACATTATCTTGTACTTAGTAACCTTTAAGGATTTGTTGTTGTTGTTGTTTTTGTTTTCAAAACAGGGTTTCTCTGTGTAGCCTTGGCTGTCCTGGACTTGCTTTGTAGACCAGGTTAGCCTTGAATTCACAGAGATCTGCCTGCCTCTGCCTTCCAAGTGCTGGGATTACAGGCATGGGTCACTGTGCCCAGCATACCTTTAGTTATTTTTAATTGAGTAAAACACTGTGTATAAAATTGTATATAAAAATTGTGTATACTTACAGTACGTAACGTGTGTGTGTGTGTGTGTGTGTGTGTGTGTGTGTGTGTGTGTGTTGCTAGGAATCAAAGCTCGGTCTTGCATATTCTAACCCTATACTAACCTATATTCCCAGCTAACATGTTTTGAAATGGCTACATTGTTAAGCTAATTAAAATATGCATTATTTTATATTATTTCAGGAATTTTTTCTTTTTTCCCTTTTGGTTTTAACATAGGGTCTCTCTACAAAGTCCAGGCTGTTCTGAAACTATGTAGAACAGGTTGGCCTTGAACTCAAAGATCTGCCTGCCTCTTTCTCTCAAATGCTGGGATTTAAAGGCCTGTGCCACCAAAGCCTTCTTTCATGGATTTTCAGGTATACGTTGTTATTAACTATGGCTACTGTGTTACATAATCTATACTTCTTGAGTTTGTCCTCCCTTATTGAAAGTTTGTATCCTCTGACCAATCTCTCCCTCTGCACTAGTTTTCAGCCCAGTAGATAATTTACCACCATTCTAGTCATTGCTTCTCCAAGTCCTTTCTTGGATTCTACTTATTTCCTAGATAAAAGCAGAATCTGTCATTCCATGTTTGGCTTATTTCACTTAAAATGTGCCCACTAGTTTCCCCTATGTTGTTGGAAAAGGTTTCCTTATTTTAAGGGGCTGAACAGTATCATGTATGTATGTACCATACTTTTTAAAATCCACTATCTGTTGGATGCTGTACAATGAGTGAGTGAGTATAGATCTTCAGACTCTGACTTAAGCTCCTTTGGATGGAGAGACCACTGGGTTACTATGAGAGTTCTATTTTTCTTTCTTCTTTAGAAAATTCCATACTTTTCCGTAACTGATAGCTAACAATTTTGGTTAATTTTTACTAATTCTGATTATTTCTCTGAAGACTTTCTAGGATTTTCTTATATAGGTAAGTGTAACAGTAAGGGGTTGGAAAGCTATGGCTACGGCCCAAACCTGGTCCACCAGCTTTTTATACAGTGTGCATGAACACAGCCACATCAACTCATGTATTGTTCCTGGGTGGCTGCCCGGAAACCACATATATTTATTATTTGCTCTTTCACAGAAGGTTTGTCAACCCTCGAGAGAATTACATAATCTGTGAATGATATTAAATTTCCAATCCATATACATACAGGATGATTTTTCTTTTATTGCACCATCCCACCCGTGATACTGATTAACAACAGTCCTAATGGGCATATTCTCTTACCCAGTTTTCTAGAGAAGCTTCTGGAGGTTCACCATTGAGAACTGTGTTGAGGTACTGAGGTATCACCCAGCTGGGAGAGTGCTTTTCTAGCATGCACAAATCCTTGGGTTTGAGGCCCCACAGCACATAAACTGGCTATAGCTGCACACACTGTAATCCCAGCACTCAGAAGGTGGAGATAGGAGGATAAGAAAGATGTTTAAGGTTTAGCTACGTGAGAGTTTCAGGCCAGCCTGAGCTACAAAACTCGTTAAAAAAAAAAAAAAAGTGCTGAATACTCTATATACTTTTGGTGAATTTCTACTTCTGCTTAATCATTTGGTTTTCACACGGTTTTATTGAGGAATAATTAACACACCATAAAATTCACTTATTTTAAGTGTACAGTCAAATGACTTTTAGGAAGCTTAGAATTGTACCGTCAATACAACATAGATTTACAACATTTCCAGCAACTT